TTCAACAGTCCTCTTTTTGACCCGGTGCTCTCCCCTGCACTTCCCAGTCACTGGTGCTTCTGTCTTAAACTCCTTTCTGAGTTACAGCCCACCAAGGATGCAGTTTCATGAGTGCTCAAAGGCTGGCATAGGCCAGGGATGTCACTAACCAGTTCCTGGCTCCTGTTAGCTACGCAGATGCAAGCAGAGGGGACGGGAGAGAGCAGGATGAGAAACCCTGTCTGCAGAACCACTTCCCAATTCACTGCCTGGGGGTCCCTGCTGGAAGGGGCACGGCGACGGGGCACAGCGGCGAGGGAAGCTGTGTGCCCTGCCTCCGAGTGCTCTGCGGTCCGCAGGCTGCCTCTCCTTGCAGGCAGGCTCGTCACCCTCCACTGCCGGTGTCCACGGCAGGCTGTCACTACTCTTTCTTATGCAGTAATTTTGTGGCAGACTTTACGGGAGACTGAGGCTTTTACTGTAAGATAACTGGATCAACCCCTGGAGTTGCAGCCCTACAGTTAAGGTAAGCAGTAATTAATTCTAGGTACTTAAATTAAGCATCCTGGATCCCACCCAAAGCAGCTTGACATCTCTGCTCCTCAGCTTGTCTACCTGTACACTAGACCACTTGCCAGTTCCTCAGAGATGCTGTAAATAACAAGATAATAAAAAGTGCTATAACTCTAAGTACTAGGCCAACTCTTAAAACTGTATCAATTAATCCACTTAGAGAAGTTTCAGAAGAGGCATTTTCAGTATGTTCTGTTTGACTTCTCTTTGAAATGGAGTCTCCAAAACATTTCTAACTTCCCTCTGGAAGAGAGACCCTGAGAGGTACTTGTCTGGTGGAAACACCTGGGAGGTATGAATGGTGATAACAGTTACCTACAAAGAGTATGTTATAGCAAATGCTGAGTTTCTCTCAATGTTCTCCTTTCTCAAGGTTTCTTCTTACTATTTTGATTTGGCACTCATCTCTATCTAAACCCTTTAGAAAATCACCAAACAACCAGTTTCATCACAGAGACAAGGAGAATGCATTTCCAATAATTTTCAAGTTTTCAGTAGACCTTTATATTTTCATATAAAGTAGATTACACACAATATACAATATGAAGTAGATGAGATGAAAATACTTTGTAATTAAAGATTTGGAGGTAAACTTGCAACTGAGGAAGGCATAATTGATCTCTGGAGACTATTCAGTGTGTGATTACTAGTGGACTAATTTCTCCACTCCTGCTACTTAACATATCCTGTTTTTTCACTATATTACTGAAAAAAATACTTTGGTGTAATATTATGTCTGCAAATAGATTAGTCTCCACTAGCTATCAAGAGCCAGAGGAACTAAGGTATGGTGCTCAAGAGAAGTTTGAGATTGCTTTTCAATAGTTTCATAATGGCCGTTGCTAAGTATATAAAAATTACTCTTTTATACTCTTATACTCTAAGTATAAAAAAATTACTCTTATATAAAAGCCTGCAAGTTATTATTTTTCTTGCCACATGAAGAGTGGGTTAGTCTTTAAGGAAAATGATGTCCTGGTTATTAGAAAAATACCAAAGGGTATTTGCTGACTGCCTCAGTCTTTCTAATTAGATGCAGTTCTTGAGCTAAGTTACCATCTGGGACTTAGTACTTTGGACAAAAATCAATAGAAGAAAACTTATATGTAATCTTTTTGTGACCATCCCTGCTTCAAATTGACAAAAAGATTAAGTAGTCAAATCAGATCGGGTTTTGAGACTCTGGACTTACTTAGGGGCTTAGAAAGCTCTCACTATAGTTTTTGAAAAACTCTTACCTTATCAAATCCTACTCTGCTATCTCATTTTCTTCCTGAAGGTTGTTTCCTGCTGCTGTTTTATCTAAGGTACAAACACCTGTATGTATGGCCATTTAAAATGCAAGAGGATTATTCCCATTTGCTTCATTGTTACACGACCAAAAGCCTACAGAATGAGCAATCTTGTAAATTTTGAGTACTCCCACCAGGAAGCAATCCACCATAACTTACACTGCAGTAACAATATTGAATGATGAAAGGAGACAGAACTGCAACACACAAAAGGCTGCCAGGCAATGAACAAATACACAAAGGTGGGGTGGAACAGATCCTGTCATGGGAAATTTGTGATATTTCCAGCTTTGCAGATTTAATACTGTGGTGTTTTTTTAGTATCTAAAGTTGGACCTCACCTGAATATATGTGGGTACACCTCTCAGGTGTGTGCCTTCTCTGGCAGGGAGACTTCACAACATAAGGACAGATCAAACTGCTCCCAGGATGGGAAAAGCTTGTGGCTCTAGGTTGCTGCCTGGCAGAGGAACATGCCTCCAAGTGGGATCACTGAGCCCAGGCCACCTGCCATGGCCCACCCCAAGGCAGGAGCACAGCCTGGTGCTACGGCCCCTCTGCCCCTCGGTGGCCTGGCACAGCAGGTCACTGGCTCTGCCTTTACTTCCTAGTCTGGAAAACACTTGAGGCTGAAAATTGGTGTTAAAACCAAGGTTAGAGCTGCTACTAATGCATCTTACTTCAGAATTCTGCTTTTTTTTTCACTATGGATCAGTACTTTATTCTTAGCTGCTAAACTTCTCTATATAAAAAAAAAATATGCTACAGTTTGTGTATGGCAAGAAAGATGAGGAAGTTACCAAAGAGAAAAATATGAATTATTTATTCTGCTTTTCAACTAACTTTTGAATGCTCCAACTAATATTCAACTAGTATTTGGGGGTTTGTGAGTTGTTTTCAGGAGTTGATCGTGGAGTTAGGACTTCTTGGTGTATCCTCTTTCAGTGCAAGAAATGTGCACAGACCTACATTCCTGCCTGTGGTGGGAATCCAAGTAATCAAGGAATTCAGTCGCTTTATTAAGCCACACACATGTCCAAATTGAGTCCTTTGTAAAGCTTAGCTGTCAACAAAGTCTTTGGAAGGACTTAGCACACATCCCCTATGTCAGGTCATGCCTCTATTGTTTCTCCTTACGCCTAAAAAGGAATTTTCTGCTTCTGATACTCATGATGAATGAAATGATGTGTTAAACAAGACAACTTGGCATGCAGAGAGGATGAGAAGGTGTCGGTCTTCTGCTTTGTTACTGAGCACCTGGCATCCTTTTATTTTATATTATACAGTTGTTATCCAAGAAAAAAACATTTAGGTCAGCCTGTAGAAAAGAATATAAAGATAATCCTATAATATAGACTCTCCAGTTTAGAAGATGCTGGAAAGAAGATAAACTGGGAAATAAGTTGGAAGTTCTTAATTTCTTTGGAAGTACTTTGTATCTTGTGGGCATCACCAAAGAAGAGCCTCTTTAGCAGAGATTAGGACACAGTGACAGGTAAATTAGTAGGAAAGGGCATCCCCAAGGGAACAGGTAGTGGCAGGAGAAAAGGTGAACAGGATGCAACGGGCATCAGTCACCACTACTGCTCTGAGAGATCGCAGCTCAGCAGTTTGCATACAGAGTAACTCACACACTACAACCTCTGCTATTACCACCAGCAGCATTCATGACATGATTAGATATGCTGGACTCAGTCAAGGCACCATAATCATGTATTGTGCACAGTCACTGCAAAAGAATATGTGGGCTACTAAGAAACTAGAAATTCAAGTTCTTTGCAAAAGGAACATGCTGGTACAGACCAAAGTGATGAAAAAATATGATGATTTTCACTTTTAACATAAAAAACTCCAGCCCTCAAAACCATTTGTATGAATGAGAAATCCCCCCCCCAAAACCTAGAAATGCACCACTCAGACTCATGACAGAACTTAATCCTACTACAGTCATTTTCACATATCAGGTGACTGTAAGAAAAAGAAGTTTTAAAGCAATACTGAGAAGTCACAACAGTGTCTTTCATACACTAATTGAGAATTTAGCTTGGAGAGGAATCAGCATTATAACTGCAGAGCACGAAGAGCTTCACTTGAAGATCCTTCAGAAGAGCCTTCACTTGAATCTTTTCAGTGTCAGTACTCCACTCTCCCCCCAAACAGATTATTTAATCCAAGTTGCTAGTCAGCAAGAGTTTCTGCATCAAGAAATAATTGTCTGAGCACAAATCTCTCCAGTGCCTCAGGAAATGCCTGGAGGCCTCCTCGCTCAAAAGCAAGCAGTTATCACATCTGCTGCTCCAGAGTCAATTATACTGGACACAGGTGCACATCATAAATTATAGACCCTGAAGCATAAAAATTTGATCAAAAAAAAGACAATGATTTTTTTTTTCTACCAAACATACCATTCCAAAACTTTGAAAGTGGATTCTTCTATCTGAAGGCTTTTCATTTTATTCAGAGAATAACACAATATTCAGCAACGTCACCTTGACAATCACCTCAAACAATGCCGCTTTAAAAATTTTCACAGGTGATTCATGAAGAAAAACAAACCTTTCTTTCTTCCTTGTAATAACAGGCTCATCACAAGACATGTACTTTTTACTTCTAATGACAGCCAGTAAAAGAAAGGATTCCGTGGGTGCGGTCTCACCCATGAGTCTACACATCTTTCATCTCTCCCAGTGGGCATATTCTCAAAGTGTCAAGCTACTCTATTTAGATTTAGTGGCAGCTGATTTGAGTAGCTTTGCAGATACACAAAAGACGAAGCAACTTATCCTCTGTGGAAGAAGGCAGGAACATGTGAACCTTAAGGGCAGCTCCTCACTGTTGCAGGTGCCATGCCATATATTCTCCTCCCAGCAACTTACTGTCTCTAACTTAAAAGTACACGGGCCTTTTCCCTCGACTATTCCAATTGTAAAGCACTTCCAGATCCTTACTGATCTTCATCTAAATTCTAACAGCTGATGGCTTTCTAATGGTTTTCAAGGCAAGGATCAGTAAGATCCCCTATGATTTTGTAACTTCAGTACATCTTTATTTCTTAAAATATTTTTGTTTCCTAGGACAGACATTTCTGGGTGTTGTCATGCTGCATCAACACTATCGTAAACAAATAGCTGAATCTCACCTGGAAACAATTGTTCCATCTCTGTAAAAAATGTTTCCTTTTTACAACTTGATGCAGACAATTTGTATTCCTTTTCATAGAAGGCAAGGCTTCTCCATTAAGTTTCTGTTTTAAAATGGAGCAGGGAGGAGAACAAAAACCAAAAAGCTAGTATTTGGTTAACTGGACATACAATTTAATTAGAGCAATTATTCTAATTGCTTCAACTGAACACAAAGTTAAAAAACAAACAAAAACAACAAAAAAGCCACAACAGATTGAAAATCTCCTAAAGTCACACTCCCTGGTCACATTTCCCAAATAAATGCTAATTTGCTTTGTGATTGGTGGATACTGCTTCAGGAACACGGAACAGTCCCTAACGGGACTGAAAAGCAGCTATTCAAGAGATAAAGAAATAATAAAGTGGCCTAGTTATAAAACAGACCTTGTTGCAGCAAAGGGAGGGTTCAAGCGGAATTTGGATGGAGTCTACTCTTAGTAAAGTTCCATGTTGCTAAGTTTAGGTAAAAGATGTTTTTCGGGAGGAGATATTTCTCCACAAAATGCTTTTCTAGCAAACTTTTTTTTTTTCCAAGTTGAATCCAGAAGATTTTCCTTTGGACCGTCCAGAGAAACTACTCAAGTCTTGGGGCTGGGGATATTGGTACAGAGCTAAACTAATAACATCATCCAAAGTACTGCCTGTGTGTTTAACAAAGCTTTTTTTCATCTTACGTGTACTGGAAGTAATTATACATGATACTAAGTGTACTGGAAATAATTATACAGTATTATGCAGGTAGGTAGATATTATACAGTGGTGGTTTGTCTTGAAATCATACTTCATGTGATGCGCAAATGAACGCTTCTGCATGTGATGCTGTCAGCCTCAGAACGGCTTATACTCCTCCTCCGTGCAACAGTCCCCTGCAAAGGAAAAAGACTACAGCTAGCCCTGCACTGCCAGAACACATACATTAGAACTGAAGGGAAAAAGGCTTCAGCTGAAGATGGTGAACACCTCATAAACAGAGCTGACCTGTCACACTGTTATGCTTAAGATCACAACGTGAGAAAACAGAGTTTACATTTTTATCAGTTTTACTGGTGCAGAAGGAAGATACCTTGGATTTCTATTATAAACAATATACTAGCTCTATAGTTGATAAGACTAAGCACACAGGACTGGAAATAGAGCAGATAATGGCACCGAAATAACACAAAAATGAGCTGAGTTTAAACATCGAGAAAGACACTGAAAATGTGCTCTTGAATTTCAGGTCAAAGAGTAGCATTAGTGGTCAGCTGAAGGGTATGGACTGCATAACAGCAGCCTGCATTATAATAAAGCTGATCTTCGTTTGGAAATTTTGTGTATGTTGCCAGAAATGTTTACAGTCAATCATGCACAGCAGCACACTCAAAGCAGCTGGGATCATACCAAATACCCAATTCTTTCAAAGATGTCTCTCAGCGACACGGCACTCTCACTATTAGCCAAGTGAACTGGGAGCATGGATCCAAAATAACCCGGACAGGTTTGCCCAGATTCATAAGACAACAATGCTAGGTTTGCTCTGATATAATAACATTTGCTCTAAAACCAGGCTTGACTACCCCAAGACAAGAAAAGGGGCTAACACAGCTGGCAGAAAAGCCATTAGGTGCTACTTGGCCACATTTGTCACTGCTGGGGCTCCTCAGGTGCTCCAGCTCAAACTGAAAGCTATGGAAAATCTGAGGCTGGGCGGCACCGCCGTGGCGCCAATGTTGAATCTTGATCTTTTGCTGCAACTGTCCTCAAATATGCAGGGCAGTGCACAAAGTCTCTTTGTCCTCTCAGATCTGAAATAAAGTACAACTTGGCTTTCACATGAGGCATATGCCTCATAAGACTTCTGTTGCCAAGCATGAGATTTTTTGACCTCCTGATTTTTCAAAAATGAAAAAGGCTGTGGGATTTTTTTAACTAAAAGAAAAGACTGTTTTCTTCTCCCTCAAACTAACCCGATAGGCCTTCACCAGATCCACAACAGTACCAACAACAGCATTGTTTTCAATTAGATCAGCCATTACAATTTCAGACAAAATCATGAGTTTTAAAAAAGCCATGAGCCCCTAAAACCAGCACATTATAAATTAAATGTTTGTAATTTTAATGGTCACTGCTTGTTCTCTCAATGCTGCCCTTTGTGTACAAACTTAGGTCATTTAAAAAAATAACCAAGATATAAAACATTTTACTTTCAAGTGGTTTTACTTTACTATTTGATATTTTCCACTAATGCATTTTAGATTTATTATTCTAATGTGTTGGGAGCTTGTCCTATCCTTGTGGCACCCCATATCCTGGAAGAAAGACAATTAGGCAGTTCTTGTCAGTAGAGTCATTCAGTTAATGAAATATCTAATAATATAGTTCATCCATTAGTGGGCTATACCACAATTCAAATATTCTACTAATTCTCAAACCCTTAGCTATGGAATCCTGCTGCATACCAGCCACGCTTGTCCCCGCGGACTACAAAAGAAAAGCTCTGTGAACGTATTGAAAACAAGGGTCCAGGAATAACGCATTTCAGCTTCTCAGAAGTGAGAGCCTTTCTCTTTATGTTAATGGAGAGTTCCTTATTTCTGTCTCTTCGTTTAGAAAACACTTCAAGTAGCACCGACAGACCTTCCTTCTATTTTCTATCAAATGTAAAATACACACCATGACATGGCCCTGCTTCCTGAAGTGAATGCCGTTCCGATCTCCTCCAGGACAATTCCCAGGTAACTAACTCGTTGTTAACATCTTCGTGAGCCGGGCCTTTCCTCGGGATGTGCGCTCTACAGCCCGAGCAGACACGTCTCGGGGAGACGAGGTGTATCTCTCCGGAGCCTCGCTCTACCCACTCGAAGCATCTACAGGCACCCCATGTTTCTGAGGCGCGTGCTCCGATCTATAATAAACACACAACCGCTTTCAGGCCACCATCCGCCCTTTAGGACCTTTATCTGGGCACTTTGAGTCACCCAGGGGTCCCTTTCCACCGGGAACAGCAGCCAGGCCAGACCACCAGCCACCCCCTCCCACCCCGGCCGACCCGGGGCGCGGTGAGGGCCGGACTCGGGACCGAGGAGGACGCTTTCCCGCCGCCATTTCAGCAGGCCTTCCGCAGGAAAGGGACGCCTTCCCCCCCGCCTCGCCGCGTTCGGGGCGTGCTCCCGGAAGGTAACGGGGCAGCTGCCCTCACACACGCCGGCAGAGCCCCGCTTTCCCCCGGCAGATCCCCGCTTTTTCCCCGATATTCCCTTTTCCCTCCCCGCCCGCGGGGCGCTGAGGAGAAACCGCCGCGCACAGGCCCCACCC